TTCCTTAACCGGAAGCATACGGGCCTCGCTATGTAGGTGTTCGATTGGGGACATCAAGAGGCACCCCGTGATAGTCCGGAGTGCAGTGTTCTGACAAGTCTGAAGCTTTTTATTCTGCATGTCACTGCATCCAGGCGACCATATTGCGGCTGCATAATTGAGGACCGGCCGGCCGATTGCCTTGTATGTTGCCAACAACGTTTCTTTGTCCTTTCCCCATGAGCTGCCGGCAAGCGACTTGAGGATTTTGTTGCGGCTCTGTACTTTGGCAGTTATCGCGGTCGTATGAGGAGTGAAAGAGCACAGACTGTCCAAAGTGACGCCTAAAATTTTAGGGTTATTTACTGTCGGAATTTTTGTGCCATCGACTGAAATGTTCAGGTCCAGTCTGTACTCCTTCGTCCAATTGGTGAAGATGGTCGCTGTGGATTTAGTGGGGGAGAGTGTTAAGTTCCTTGCAGAAAAGAAGCGAGAAAGATCGGAGAGGTAGCCGTTTACTTTTGAACACATGCCATCGATTCCATTGCCCGACGTCAATATCGTACAGTCATCTGCGTACGAGGTCATTGAAATTCCCGCTGGTGGCTGGGGGAGTTTTGAAATGTAGAAATTAAACAGTAGCGGGGAGAGGACACCGTCCTGCGGAACCCCCTGTTTAATTTTCCTGAGTTTGGAGTTTTGACCTCGAAATAGTACGGAAGTGTCGACCGCTCAGGTAGTTCATGGTCCACCGCTTCAGCCCTGGAGGGAGCGTTGATTGTTCCAGGTCCTCAAGTAGCGTTGCGTGATTGACTGTGTCAACAGCTTTTGACAAGTCCAACGCTACGAGGATCGTCCTCTCGCAGGGTGGCTTCTGGTTCAGGCCATGAACTATCTGGGCGTTTATGACGCTAAGTGCTGTGGTGGTACTGTGCACTTTACGGAAGCCATGCTGATGGTCTGCTAGGCTCAGGTGGTGGGTGAATGACGGGAGTAACAAGGCCTCAAGTGTCTTCACTACTGGGGAAAGGAGAGTTATCGGGCGATAAGACTCCCCTTTGTTGGCGGGTTTCAGCAGTGGGACCACTCTTCCGACTTTCCACACATCGGGTATTTTAAGAGTGGATATCGACAGGTTGAGGACCTTGGTGAGGTAGTTTACTCCCGTTGGGCCTAGATGTTTTAACATCAGCATGCTTATTCCGTCAGGGCCGATGGATTTAGACGATTTCGCCTTTTTGATGACATTCTGAACCTCCCCATCGGTGAAAGTAAGTGGTGCGCAGTCTTTTGGCATTTTGCGCAGCCGTCGGGTAACACATCGTTTGGCCTTGTCGGTCGAAGGGTGCAGTATAAACTGCCGGCTAAAGTAGCTCGCGCACTTCTTCGGGTCCGAGGAGGCATGGCTATCGAATTGAATTTCAACCTGATCGTCATGTTTCCTCGGATTTGACAGGGCCTTGACAGTAGTCCAAAGCTTACTCACACCGGTGGAGAGGTTGCAGGACTTCAGGTGCTCTATCCATTTTGTCCGCTTATGATGGTTTACCATTTGCCGAATCTCCAAATTGAGATCCCTTATTCGGGGATCACAGGGATCGGCATGGCGTAAGGTGTCGCGGTCATTTGCTAATACAGCTTCGGCTGGGAAATTAGGGCGGAGTTCCGCTATTCTTCCAGCCGGTATGAAGCGAGCTGTAGCAGCAGCAATCACCTTGCGGAATTGACGCTCGCCAACGATGACGTCCGTAGGAATGGATAGTGCGTTGAAGGTGCTCTCAGTAAATTCTGTGAAGCCGACCCAGTTAGCTTTGTTAAAGTTAACATAGGTGCGGTTATCCACAGAAATAAAGTCAGGAGGTTTCTCCATCGAGATAATTATGGGCAGATGGTCTGATGCAAGAGTTAGCATAGGTCGCCAGGTTATACTATTTATCAGACCACCGCTAGCGATGGTAATATCTGGCGAGCTATTACAGGTGCCCATAATTCTGGTGGGGGCTTCGTCGTTCATTGTGCAGAATGTCGAATCGTCTATCTGTTCCGCCAGCTCCATCCCCCTACGATCGTTTGACAGGCAGGAATGCCAAAGATCGTGATGCGCGTTAAAGTCGCCTAGCACCAGACGGTTTTCACCACGAAGTAGCGCATCTATATTCGGGTGATATCCTGTTGGGCAACATGTAACTGGGGGGATGTATATATTAAATATTTCGAGCTCGACATCGTCTGACCGGACAGCTATACCCTGACATTCTAGGGTGGTGTCCCTGCGGTCGATGTCAACATCGATTAGACGTGTTGTGCAATATGAAGGCTAGGCCTCCACTATTATCCCGCTCGCGATCCTTACGTAAAACGTTGAAACCTGCACAACTCAGAACATCTGAGCGGCTGTTTAACTTGGTTTCTTGGATCGCAGCTATCGTTACGCGCTCCCGGCTCATAAATGCAACTATCTCCTCGATCTTGCTCTGGAGTCCGTTGCAGTTAAATTGTAAGAGTCGCGTTTGTCGCGGGTGTCCAGTCGTGATCCTAGGGGTGAGTGGGGTGCGTGTAGGTGGTGGTTGTTGCAGCTGTGCTATCCGCATGGGCGGTTGTCGCACTATGGTGTTGGTTGGCGACGCCACTGTTTGTGATTGCGGGGGCAGACTCCCACAGCATGGGGCAACATACGACGCACTCCACTCTCGTGTGGTGCGCAGGCCAGAACACGACAGAAAGTGACACCAGCCAGTACAAGAATTGCACTTGACTGATGTGACATTCCGGCGTATTATGGTCTGACACACGGAACAGACTGTGCGAGGAACCAGGAGTTGCTGTGTGGTTCTCACACGAGGATTGGAGCTGGATGAAGGTTGGGGGGGGGGAGGTTGGTCAGATTGGGAGTTATGCTGTCTATGTGAGCTCCTTAGGACCGTGGAGGTCCTATCTTGGCCACTCGACTGGAGTGGGGCCACGTAACTCGTGGTCCACTCCCTGTGTGTCTTAAGGCCCGAGCAGGTCTTAAGATGGCTCCATCCATTGCATGTATTGCACCTAACCGAGGTGGAATTTGGATGGAGCCTTTTTGCGCATACGCAGCAGTAGAATACCTCGGGGCCCGGGTTGGACTCGATGCCAGCACGGGTCAGGAGGATACGGAGCAACCCTGCTGCTAGGCGTTGCTCCAGTGACGACAAACTTAATCTAAAACTTACCGATCCAAACAGGGTTAGATCGTCGAAATAACAGCCCTTGGCCGGATAAAAACCGGGTCAATTCCGGTATCGCAGAACCGGCTGTTGTGGGAATTGTAATATATCAATAATAATAATAATATATCACACAGGTGGACCGTTCCGGTAAAAAGTTAGCACCAGGCGGTGAGGTCCCCATATTTCGTAACTGGGGGCTTAACCAGTTATATTAACAATTTTAAGACTTGCGATGGTATACTTTAAAAGCACTATTTGTGCAAAATCTTGTTCTTATATGTCCTTTGGTGCTTGATTTGTATACTGAAAAGTGAAAGAATCATATGAAATTTAAAATTGTGCTAGTGAGGTAATAGGCGAGGTTGTAGTCCGATTTCGCTCATTTTCTCATTGTAAGATGAGTTGTTAAAAAAATTCTATGTACCAAGTTTTGTTGAAATTCATCAAGTAGTTCCGATACATGATTTCGCCTAAATGTAAGCGGTGCCACGCCCATTGTTCAATTTTGACAACGGTTCCTTTAAAACCCCCTTGTGCCATCTCGGTTGCATTTAGTTATTGATTTATCGCACTTTTAGTAGTTTTTAACAAAAACGTTATATAGGGAGTGGGTGGGGTTATCATCTGATTTCACCCATTTTCATACTGTCGAAGAAAGTGTCAAAATTATGCAAATTTAGGTTTTATAGCTTGAATGGTGTAGAAGAAATATACATTTAACTTATTAGGAGGCGGGGCCACGCCCGCTTTTGAAAAAATGTTCAACCATTAATGACCCTCCCCAATAAATCTTCTGTACCAAATAACAGATGTATATGTTATTTTAGTGCTTAGTTATGACTTTTTATAAGTATTCAATTAATGGCGTTGTAGCGGGCGTGACCCATTTACGCCCATCTACAGTACCAAACTTCTTATGGTGCCAAGGAACATGTGCGCAGCAAGATATCTTAATTTTTACTCAAGTTACAGCTTGCACGGACACACAGGCAGTCACCCGGATTTCAGCTCGTCTCGTCAACCTGATCATTTATATATATTTATAACCCCATATCTAACTCGATTTTTTTTAGGTGATAACAAACAACCGTTAGGTGAACAAAAATATACTCTGCATTTTTAGGGGGGGGGGGGGGGACCGTGGAATTATATTCCGCAGCAAAGCGGAAGAGTGCTATTTGATTGTAATACTGCGTTTACATGGGGACTCTTTTGGCCCTCATTATCGGCAAATTATCTTCTGATGTCGCTCTGTGCATTCACACTAGCAAATAGAGTCCAGCCACTCAATCGAGTTTTTCTGTCATTACTTTTCATACAATTTTTGCAAATGTTTGTGCGGTTCGACTACGCGACGCTTAGAGTGTGTTGCATATTTCATTTGTATGTTGGGATGGTGGTCTCACATTCTGCTTGCAATAAATTACTAATGAATGTGGTAGAACAATATGCATTATACCTATCCGCATAATAGTTTCAAAGAAATACTTAAGTCGAAAATTCCCTAATCCACCAGAATGTGTTGAATACCTGTTACTAATATTTTCAAGACCAAATTTATAGCAGGAATTTCATAATCTTTAAGTATTAAAAATCCATAATTTTTTTACTCCATATTTTTTTCTATTTATTTTAAAACATCCTTGAATTAATTATAATTCTTGTTTTAAATAAAATGATATTCGAACTAAATTCTTTGCGGTTAAAAGAAATAAATATGAAAGCATTCTAATATTTTAAGTAAATATAAGAAAGTAAAGTTACCATTTTTATTAGAATTCTTTTATGTATACTCGTATATTATTAAATTTAATACCGGAATTAAAAATTTAAATTGAATATTTTAGAGTATCTTAATTTTCTCCTTATTTACCATTTTCCAAAATATTTCATACATACATACATATTTGCAAATTTCATACAAAAAATAGATAACAGAATTAAAATTTCTGAACGAATGGTATACTTGTAGATTCATTTGAAACCGAGCGCTCTCTCAACCATTAATAGAATTGCTGTTACGAACAAGAACACAAAGCGGGCACGGTTCCTTCGTCTTTCCTCCTCGTCCCTTCGCCTACAATGAACCGGTTGGCTTGTTTATTTATTCTCCTCCTTCCTTTTGAAAACACAGAAGAGATTGATCTCTGGATGAATTTTAAAATGGAATAGAGACTCAAACACTTCCTTTTCCTTAATTAAATTACCCGTTGACATATCAAGAAAAAAAAGGCATTCTGATAGCCTTGATCTTACCGACCGTGCACTTGAAATTAGTTGTGAAATTCCTAGTCTTCGCTTTCAGTAGCATGTGAAGAGGTCGCAACACCTCTGTCTCCTTGCTGTTCTTGTCCTTGTCGACTGTCCTGTCATAAAATATCTTAGATTTTAAACATTCAAACATCTAGGTGTACTAGCGGGAATTAAAATTAAAATCTAAGAAGGGATGGGTTCGAAGTTTTTTGTCGTGACTAAGTTTTTCTGTGTGACGCCAGAATATAAAAGATATTCTATTCTATCTATTTACACAAAACGAGGCACTAAACTAAATTAAATTGTACGTTATGCCATTCACATAAGATCAATAAATACCTTACTGGACTCAAATCTAGAAAGATGCTTGGACATTTGTCTTATGGATATTGTAGTGTTTTAGTTTAACACTGACACATCCTCCATAAAGAACCTGCCCTGAGCCTACTGTTAAATGACTTCATGACAATACTTACCCAACCTTTCGTCCACACAAGTTTGGCTAACAGTTAAAGAACAATAAATTGGTACTTGGTTGCGAAAGATTTAAATGTTGTGCGCAACTGAAAATCTTTGGTATTATAAAAATAAATTAAGTTTGAATACATGTTTTATTATAGAAGTGTTTAAAATTTGTTTATTTTCAATATTCACCACATGAATTAACAAAATGAGATCTGAACCACTGTAGTCTACGTTATGTTATATAGATAATGGCTAAGTGAGAGTGACATGAAAAATACGTATATATACAATATAATACACATACATGTATAATAAATATTCCTTTACCTCTTAATTTCTTGCATTTGCTCTCTAGATTCGATTTTTCTCTCTTTTCATTTACACAGCTGTGTTGCTAACGCTCCTTGACATTGCACTCTAATCTTTAGTTGTATGAAATCTGTACACAATACATTCAGTCCGCACCGAAACCAAACCTGAATTGCTCACTGGTTACAGATATTTGTAGGCTGCTTTTTATTGTTTTCCATTCTTACGACTTTTACAAAGCAATGCAGGTCTTTGTAGCTCGATTTATACATAAGGAAAAAAATAGGTGACATTGTCTACATTTTGGATTATCCTTTACATATCCCTGATACTAACTGCAATTCGTACCACCATCTTAGGATTCGTTTATACATATTTATATACGTACGTATTGCCGCTCGCCCGTCTGGCTACCTGTCTGGCAACTTCATCTAGCCTATTTTACCCCTTCCTTGTAGGCCTTTAATTACGCATTGTTTCAGTGTATGTGTGTAGCTTTGTTGCTATTTTTATTTTGTCGTATGTTCTTTTTGTGGGTGTTATTACATGTTGTTTCTCTTAGCATGGTGTTTTTCGCTCGCCTTTTACAGTTAATATTCTCGCCAGATGTGTTGTGTTATTTTTTGTTGTTGCTTCTTTATTGTTGTAGTGATTTTATTTTTTGTGTTGCGGCGTTTAATAAATTATGATTCGTTGCACTTTCTGCCTCGGTCCGGTTCAATGCTCTAATTAAAGGTTAAATTACTTTGCACGTTTTTTACTTTTGTTTTTTTCCTTGGTCTGGTTTTGTGTGTGTCCTCATTTCTGCTACAAAATGGAAAGCACCATGTTCCATCTGAATTTTCAGTATATACTTAGGCTCGTTTATAAATTTAACTATAGTTTTTGAATACTTGTACACACATATTGGCAAAATTAAAACTCAAATACATATATACATATAGGTATGTATGTACTTATGTGTGTGGTGCTTTTTAATATCTTTTTTATAACAGGAATTTTGTAATTTAAGTACAGCGTTTCAGTCGGGCGATCAAATATGGTGAGAATGCTTACGCTCAAGTGAGTATGTTAGTTTGAACCTTAAATAACGGCTTTACTTACGAAGGAAGCTGTCAAAGGATTTTATACAGTACAATCTACTACTGAATTTAATATTAAATTTGGCGTAGACATAAAAATTAAAATGTCTAACTTTGACCAATAATGCGCTCTCCAAAAGTTTCCTTTAATAAATTGATTGTTTCGTTGGCTATATGTAGCGCAATCTTGTTGGAACCAAAGGTTGTCCACATCAACATCCTCCAATTCAGCTATGGAAAAGTCATTAATCATGGCTCTATGGCGTTCCCCATTGGTCTGCTTTAGTTTTAAAAAAATGTGTACCAATGATTCTCTCTGCCCATTGAGCCCACCAAACAGTGACTTTTTGAGAATATCATGGCGTCTAAACAATGGCTTGTAGATTATAGTATCATCACTTCGAATGCGACAATTTTGTTCATTAATGTACCCATTTAACCAAAATTGAACTTTATCGCTGAAAGGAGTTTTGTATGATGCTTCGCGCGAATCGACCCATTATTTTGGTAATAAATTTGCTGGATTTACAAACGTTGTTCCGGAGTCGGTATATTTATTATGAGATCGCAATGCTAATAAGTTAAGTTTTATACCGATACGTTAATTGGTGCTTGATTAGCATACTGGAAAGTGAAAGAATCAGATGGAATTTAAAATTGTGTTATATGGGAAGTAGGCGTGGTTGTGGTCTGATTTCGCCCATTTTCGCAATAAAATATAGGAATCACAAGATAGAATTACATACCAAATTTGGTTGAGTAGGTCCTGAGACATGTGTTTTCACCGAAATATGGGCGGTTCTATGCCCATTTGACTCCGGCTCCTAAAAAGTCCTTTTGTATCATCGTAGATGTAAAATTTAATGTCTCGGAAGTATATATTTATTGATTTATCGCGCTTTTAGTAGTTTTAACAGAACCATGACATGGGGAGTGGGCGGGGTATCACCCGATTTCAACAATTTTACAGTGTAGGGGTGCATAAAAGATTTGTCTTGAGCGAATTGGTTTGTTGTACCGTAAGTGGTTTAGGAGATATGTGCATTACCCCTTAGAAGGCGTGGCCATACCTTTTATTTAATTTTTAGCCTACAGGTGCCTCTTGCTACTGTGATCCCCAGTGTCAAATTACAATTTTATATCTTAATTTAGTGCTTAATTATGTTACTTTATAGATTTTCGTTTAATTACGTTTTGGGGCGTGTCAGTGGTCCGATTACGCCCATCACTTTTTTTCCAAGGAACACGTGTACCAAGTTTCATTAGGATATCTGATCAACCGATGGTGTTGCTTTGTAATAAAAAAAAACATTTGTGAAATGGCGCGTAATAAGTATTCAGCAATATTTAGGGAAAAAATTAATAGCGATTTTAAAACGGTGAATCAGTAACTAATATTTCGAAAAACTTCACAATTAATCACAGCATTGTCTCAAGAATTATGTCATTTTCTTTCTTCGGGCTCCCTAACCACAATTCATGGAGGTGGCAGACCACGTAAAACTACTAGCCGTGAGGATATGACCATAGTGCGCTCCATAAAAAGAGATCCCTTTATATAAGCTAGATCAATCCAGAGCGAATTGGACTTAAATATTTCGTGCAGATCCATCCAGCGACGAACTGTAGAAAATAACTTTATAACAGGCAGAAGTGTCAAAAAGTCATACATTTCACACAAAAATCGAAAAGCGCGGATTAAATTTGCAAAAGCTCACGCTAACTAGAGTATTACAAGATGGAGAAGTGTATTTTTTTCTGATGAGTCCGAGTACAATATTAAAGGAATGGGTGAATTAAAGCTGGAACGAAGACCAAAAGGATCGTTTTATTTGCATACCTCAAAACTTTATGCTTCCTTATGCTGAAGAGGAAATGCCGTTAAAAAGGAACTACCGACACGATAACATCCGAAGCACACGGCCAAATGTGTAAAGGACTGGTTTATTTCCAATAAAATGAAGTTTTGAAGTGGCCCGAGCAATCATCTAATCTCAATCCCATAGAGAATCTATGGGAAAGTGTAGTGCGGAAAATTCAGCAGGAAAATTGTAAAAACAAGGACTCTCTACCCAAGTCGAACGGGCATAGAAAAACATTTCTCAAGACATGTAAACAATTTAATTGAATCTATGCCACGAAGATGTGAAGCCGTCATAAAAAACAATGAATATGCCACCACATACTAACAACAAATACTTTTATTTTTTTACTATATGTAACGTTCTTTAGTTTTGTCGTATCTATCTTATGTATTGTTAACTTTTAAGTCATATTTAAGTGAAAAATAAATAATAATGTTACGTTTTTTTAATACATCAATAAAAATGTATATTTTTTAGAAATAAAATTTAAAAAAATAATAATTTTATAATAGTAACTAAATTATATGCAGCTAAATGGTAGTACGGTAAATTTCTTGCTTTAGTTTTGTCCGACATTGTACAAGTATATAACTCCATATCTATCTCGATTAGTTTTAGATGAAAAAAACAATTATACTCTGTAGCAACATGTTGCAAGAGACCCGCTCTGTTTCACCTCTCTTGTCAAAATTTTATAAAATGCAAATTGAATGGGTAACAAGTTTTAATTTTAACGACCTGTTTTAAAAATTTTGCCAACAATAACGAGCAATACATTAATTATAACGGTATTGGGTTTCAAAACTCTATTATTTCACGACATACCAGATTTATTGAAACAAAAATTTTTTAATTGGTATTATCATCATAGTGAGAATACAATTTTCGTTGTATTTTTGTTTTAACCTGATGTTGGTAAGAAAATTTACTGTCTTCTTCACACACATTTCGAATATTGATTGAGTTGGTCATTAAATTTGTCGTGTGAATATTGATAACAACATTACATATTATATATGAAGAAATCCAAGCCATCTTTTGTTATGCATTTTAAATAAATTTTTCGCTTATCTACTTAATCTATAATTTTACATAATTTATATCCTCTTTTTTGCTTATTTCCAGGAAACGTATCCATCCTCGCCGCCCGTTTGGTTTGCAGAGAGTGAAGAGACAAGCGTAACAAATGCCGTACAAATACTTAGCAATACGAATGGACGTGATAATCATGTTATAAATCAGGTGAGTGAACTTTGTAGCAAATTCACACAGACAACCAGTAGCGCCTAGTTAAACATCATGGTCACAGCTGCACCACCGGCAAAGCAAATGGTTGTACACCCACAAACATACACATGCATATGTATGTAGTATGTAGTATGTAGTATATGGAGTTGCGACCATTAGCAACAGTGTAACAGAAAAAACAACACTTTTGCGTTTGTGTTTATTCTACTTTTTTATTTAATCCGTGAGTTTGTTTGTTTTATCAGTTTGGTGTACTCTTCGCTTGACGCTTTTGACGCATTTATATACTTGTTGTTGGTTCGTTCGTAGGTTGGCATATTACTACGCGAACTGTGCCGCCTGCACAATGTCCCACTGCCACCCGATATCGATAACCTCTCAATACCGTTTCAATTGCCACCCCCAAGTGCGTCACCATTGCATCAACAGCCGGCAGCGCAGCATCAGATCGAGGACATCGATTCCGATCAAGATGAGGTAGAAGATCTTATATGTGAAAGCGAGCAGGAGAGTGAGGGCGATGAGGATCTACCATTGGAAATGGACGACGGACGCAGCGCGAATAAAGTTGAGGTAACTTTACACAAAACCAATTAAATATATACATCATTACTCTTGAATGATTTTTTTTTTGTTTCGCAGAAGGATGAAATGGAAGTGGAACATCTGGCCACATTAGAAAGACTACGACAAAGTCAAAGACAAGACTATTTAAAGGTGAGTTTCATATATGTGTATATGTATATATGTATATTTATACATATATAATTCGCATACACGTATGGCAAATAAATTTTCTATTTTTAAATTCGAGGATGTCTGCTAACGAATAAAATATAGTGTTATATGCTCGATATACGAAAAATATAGCACAAACTATCCCACGCTTTTCTCACAATAATACAAGTATTTTTCGGTCAATATTTCTGTCAGTTTATATAAGGAATTATTTTTCACTTTTTAGTTTGAAGTGGTTTAAAAGCATTCTTTTTATTTTTTTAGCAATATTTGATTCTCACTTTTTAGTTTAATGTGCTTTAAAAGCATGTTTTTAGTATTTTAAACCATACTTATTATTTAGCTACACGTGGTGTTTTCACTTTCTTTAAGGATGCGTTTGAGTAAATGTGTTATTCAAATGACAGCATGGATAGTTGATGCCTTTAAGTGCTTAGTTTAATAGTCGGTATACGATTTTCCCATTTCCACAGTGTGTGATAGGAATGGCTGAGTAACCTCACATACCAAATTTGATCGAAATTAGTTCGGTAGTGCCTGAGATATAGGATTTGACCTAAAGGTTGGTGATGCCACGCCATTCTAATTTTTACATTTCCTCCTATAAAGCTCTTCCCTACCATCTTGTTTGTGAAATTGATTACTTATGGCGCATTTATTTGGTGAGTTATACACTCTTGGTATTTTTCAACATAACCATTATATGAGGAGTGGGCGTGGTTATTAGCTGCTTTTACCCATTTGCACATTTTCTTATGAAGAACTGCTTAAAAGACTACCTCGCAGCAAATCTGGTTAAGATTGCTTCAGCAGTTTGAACGATATATACAATAAACCATTTAGGGGGCGGGGTTGCACCCACTTTTAAACAAATTTCAGGCAGTAGGTGTCCCTTATTACCGCGATCTCCTGTACCAAACTACAGTTCGGTATCTTAATTTAGCGCTTAATTATGGCATTATAGCGTGTACGTGGCAGTAGTCCGATCACGCCCATCTGCAATACCAACGCTCCTTGGGTGCTAAGGAACATATGTACCATCATTACCTTTTCATCAAGATATATCAATTCTTACTCAAGTTATCGCTTGCATAGAAAAAAGTTACGAACATGCAAACACCGGTGAAGCAAATAAGAGCGTTATAAAAACAAGAAAAAACGTTAACTTCGGTTGCACCGAAGCTATAATATATATATAATATTTTTTTCCATTCAGGCACTTTACTCCGATCGTTCAATTTATATGATAGCTATATGACATAGCAATCCGATCTAAACAATTTTTTCGGATATTCTTGCCTTAGAAAATAACTCATGCCAAATTTCGTGAAGATACCTCGTCAAATGAAAAAGTTTTTCATGCAAACACTTTACTCCGATCGTTCAGTTAATATGGCAGCTATATGTTATAGTCATCCGATCTAAACAATAACTCATGCCTAAATTCGTGAAGATACCTCGTCAAATAAAAAAGTTTCCTATACAAGGACTTGCTTCCGATTGTTCAGTTTGTATAGCAGCTATATGCTATAGTGGTCCGATATCGGCCGTTCTGGCAAATGAGCAGCTTCTTAGTGAGAAAAGGGCAGGTACAAAATCAGACGGATAGCTTAAAAACTGAGGGACTAGTTTGCATATATACAGACGGACGGACGGACGGACAGACGGACATGGCTAAATCAACTCAGCTCATCATGCTGATCATTTATATATATGTTTTATAGGGTCTCCGACGTTTCCTTCTGGGTGTTACAAACTTCGGGGCAAACTTAATATACCCTGTTCAGGGTATAATGAAGATTGACATGTTCAAAGCGATTTTAGAAGAGCCCGAGAATATTTATAGGGTGGTTGTAGGTTTTGCCATATCCCTTGTCTGAATATATGGTAAATCAGCACTCTTCCGCTAATGTATAACTTGTAATATGTTTATAGTTTGAAATGTGTTATGAAACACAGGTGAGTTTTACTTGGGGCGTTGACACCGTTTACTTTTAGGAAAAGTTTCTTTCGTACCACTGCATAACTGCTATGATTACTTCCGACCTAACGCCAGTTTGAATTTCTTTAGATTCTTTTATTATAATCTCGCAACTTGTTGCTACAGAGTATAATTTTCTTCACCTAACGGTTGTTTGTATCACCTAAAACTAATCGAGTTAGATATAGGGTTATGTATATATAAATGATCAGGATGAAGAGACGACTTGAAATCCGGGTGACTGTCTGTCCGTCCGTCCGTGCAAGCTGTAACTTGAGTAAAAATTGAGATATCTTCATGAAACTTGGTACACATGTTTCTTGGTACCGTAAGACGGTATTGCAGATGGGTGGTCCGATTACCACTGCCACGCCCACAAAACGCCATTAATCAAAAACAAATAAATTACCATAACTAAGCTCCGCAATAAGATACAAGACTGTCATTTGGTACAAAGGATCACATTAGGGAGGGGCATCTGCATTTAAAATATTTTTAAAAATCGGGCGTGGTCCCGCCCTTAATGAGTTTAATGTGCATATCTCCTAAACCGCTAAAGCTATAATAACCAAATTCACTGGGAGCAAATGTTTTTAGCACCTATTGACGGTGTGAAAATGGGTGAAATCGAATGACAAGCCCGCCCACTCCCCATATAACGGTACTGTTAAAAAATACTAAAAGCGCAATAAACCAAGCACTAAACACGCCAAAGGCATTAAATTTTATCTCTGGGGTGGTATGAGATGACTTTATAGGAACCGCGTTCAAAATTAGTGCTTAACCGATTTCAACCAAATTCGGTGCATAACGTTCTTTTCATATTTCTAAGTTATAATGCGAAAATGGGCGAAATCGGACTACAACCACGCCTATTTCCCATATAACACCATTTTCAATTCCATCTGATTCTTTAACTTTCCACTATGCATATCAACCAACAATGATTATATTGAGGTACAACTTTGCGTGAATAATACGTTTAAAGTATGTCACCTTGTGACCAAAAATTGTCTAAATCGAACCAAAACTGTTCAAGCCGCTAAGTACTAAATATGTGGACCCCAGTGCCTATAGTTGCCCTTCTACCGAAAATATCAGTCAATCCACAAAGAAATCTCAAACGAAAGTGCGAAAATGTTCGGTTACATCCGAACTTAGCCCTTCCTTACTTGTTCTACGACTGTGTTATTTTCTGGGGATTGAATAAAGGGATTCGACCTTTCCTTGCAATTGTACATAGTATAATGCTCGACAACGCATAAACTTGTTTTTAGTTTTTATCAACATAATGCAAATCTAAAGGGTATTTTTTCTTGTCGTTTTTAGTACATTATATTATTCTACAAAGGTAATAGAGGGGTAGGAGTACTTACCAATAAGAACGTTAAGCTATTATATGATATAAAAATAAGCTTCATTCTTCCTTGTTTTTTTAATCAGAAGAAAATAACAATTATGTTGTTTTATTGAAAGTGAATATCCATATAAAATATGCAAAAAGGTTTTGTTTTTCATTTTAAGAAAACCAGCAAATTCAAAAAACTTACTGGGGGATGCTATACAATAATTGCATTTCATTTTATGGTATGATTAGCTATCTTTACAATTTCAACCCAGGATAGTTTTATTTTCATAGACCCAACTGTTTTAAGAACTTTTATTAGTTTCACCTGTATATGTGTTAAGACACATCCTTTTGAGTGGACTTAAGACTTTTATCCACGAACAGATTCAATTTAAACTTCGTACACGTATCAAAAACCGGTGACAATACAATAATTCGATAATTTTTTCCTTATTGTCCTGATCAAGAATACTTGTATTAAATAATATCCTCACATAATAAAATTTATTTTCGCAGTTATGATTAGGTTTCTGCGCACTTTTTTCGCGCATACAAGCATCACGTGATCCCCACTCTCACCCTCCTTACTAATCAGAACATCTGATATTACAGTTATTTGGCAATATTGACGTACTTACACCTGAAATGGTATAAGTTGTCATATGTTAGTACTTTGTTTCATTTACAGAATGTTTATACTAAAATCTTTGGCTTATCTTTTAAAACATAAGTTCGTCAGAGAGAAAAAGTAATAATTTATTTTTTTATGTTTATATTTTTCGGTTTTAAAATGTATAAATTAGATATATAAGGGGCCCTCACAAAGTTTGTTAGTCTTGTTTAGATTTCGATATTCCTTTGAACTGGATGGAGCCTACAAATAATTTTGAAGATTGTTACTTTTGAGTATTAGATGTGAAAGGTTTTAATTGCAATGAAACGTGCAGATATCCCGACTTACAGTCTACAAAATGTCCTTTTTTACACAATGAAGCACTGATGTTGCCAAATTCACAAAAATCAGTACAGTCTACCAGTAGAAGTGAATGGGAGATGGAAACATCTACTCCAAAGTGATTTTATCAAAATGGACTCAGTGTTTGTGATGAAAGGCATCAAAACGGTTAACTTCAGCATTGATAGACTTAGTAGCTCCAACGGTAACAATTACACAAATACAGAACGCGGGAAAGCGAGTTACACCTAATACTGTTTTTACACGGTTTTGATTCAACACGGTTTAAAAATAAAACAATTTTTAATTTTCTACCCGATTTTATTCCATTTAGCAAATTTTGGACTTAAATTTTATTTGTCAGATTTATTTTCTGCAAAATATGTTCATGTTATAAACTTAGAGGAATTCCCTTTTGGTGAATACAAATACGTTTACTGGTCAGAGTAATTGTAAATAGCACAGATTTAGGGGGATTATCAATGTATTTTTATACTCTCGCAACCTGTTGCTACAGAGTATAATAGTTTTGTTCACCTAACGATTGTTTGTATCACCTAAAACTAATCGAGTTAGATATAGGGTTATATATATATAAATGATAAGGATGAAGAGACGAGTTGAAATCAGGATGAAGAGACGAGTTGAAACCCGGGTGACATTCTGTCCGTCCGTCCGTCCGTGCAAGCTCTAACTTGAGTAAAAATTGAGATATCTTTATGAAACTTGGTAGACATGTTTCTTGGTACCGTGAGACGGTTGGTATTGCAGATGGGCGTAATCGAACCACTGCCACGCCCACAAAACGCCATTAATCAAAAACAAATAAATTGCCATAACTAAGCTCCGCAATAAGATATATGACTGTTATTTGGTACACAGGATCACATTAGGGAGGGGCATCTGCAGTTAAAATGATTTTAAAAAGTAGGCGTGGTCCCGCCTCTAATAGGTTTAATGTGCATATCTCCTAAACCGCTAATGTTATAATAACAAAATTACTGGAAGCAAATTTTTTTAGAACCTCTACCCACAGTGTGAAAATAGTTGAAATCGGGTGGCAACTCCGCCCACTCCCCATATAACGGTACTGTTAAAAACTACTAAAAGCGCGATAAATCAAGTACTAAACAAGCCAGAGACATTAAATTTTATCTCTGGGATGGTATGAGATGACTTTATAGGAACCGTGTTCAAAATTAGACAGTGGGCGTGGCACAGCCTACTTTTAGGTGAAAACCCATATCTTGAAATCTGCTTAACCGATTTCAACCAAATTCGGTACGTAACATTCTTTTCAATGGGCGAAATCGGACTACAACCACGCCTACTTCCCATATAACACCATTTTAAATTCCATCTGATTCTTTCACTTTCCACTATGCATATCAAGCAACAATGATTATATCGGGGTAAAACTTTGCGAGAATAATACGTTTAAAGTATGCCACCTTGTGACCAAAAATTGTCTAAATCGAACCAAAACTGTTCAAGCCCCTAAGTACTAAATATGTGGACCCCAGTGCCTATAGTTGACCTTCTACCGAAAATATCAGTCAATCCACAAAGAAATCTCAAACGAGTATACCATTTGACTTTGCGAGGGTATAAAATGTTCGGTTACATCCGAACTTAGCTCTTCCTTACTTGTTATGTATGGTTTTTTTCTGGAACCAATCTACCGTGTAAAAACAGAATTAAGTGTATTGCAATTTCTTAGTGACACGAAGCTGCTTTGAGACATGGTCTTAAAAGAATACAAATATACTGAGTGGAATTAATTTTAAATTTGTCTTACTGCACAGTGGAAATACATATACATCGATTTCAATTGCCTATTTGAAAAAACGAAAATAAAAAATTGTATTTTTTTAAACACGAAAACTTTCCAATTTATTTTTACTCGCTCAAAAAAGTGGATACATAAAATAATACCCCACCACAGAGCAAAGCTACTTCATTGGAAACAACATGTTTAGCCCGTAAAATTTCTTTAACAGCTTGGAAAAGTATTGTGTTAATAGTCGAATATTTCCTAGGGAACCATAAAGCACCAAACTATTGTGAAAAATATGCTGGCAAACTTTAAGATTTTAGGAGCAAACAGGAAATTATAGTGAGGAACAGGAAATACAGTTTCACCAAGATCTAAAAGTGATGGATGAAAGGTATCAATTACTACTGGTCCTTAAGAAGAAGAAAAGAGAAGAAAAAATCAAAAGCCATTTTTATCTGTTAATTTGTTTCATGTTTTCCAATTTTTCTTATGTAAACTGATAATAAAATTTAAACATAAGACATAAACTTTGTTTTTTAGGTTTTTTTAAACTATATTTATTAATGAGAATATCGGTACAATAGTTTACAACAACTGTATAGTAAGGCTGTGTATTTGGAAGTACATATGTTTTTAACTTATTACGATTTTTTGTATTATTATATTGCAGGGTTCTGTTTCTGGTTCCGTTCAAGCGACCGATCGTCTCATGAAAGAGCTGCGTGACATTTACCGATCCGATTCTTTTAAGAGTAATATGTACTCCATAGAACTAGTAAACGATTCGATATACGAATGGAATATACGCCTGAAATCGGTTGATCCTGACAGCCCGCTACACAACGACTTGGTCATGCTCAAGGAAAAGGAAGGCAAAGACAGCATATTGCTGAATATTATTTTCAAAGAAACTTATCCATTTGAGCCGCCATTTGTACGAGTAGTGCATCCTATAATATCAGGTGTGTTGTGTATATGATTTTCTAATAAACCAACCATTGTACATTTATTCTCATGTCACGATTTTTTTAGGTGGCTATGTACTCGTGGGCGGTGCCATATGTATGGAGCTGCTGACAAAACAGGGCTGGAGCTCCGCTTACACTGTGGAAGCTGTCATCATGCAAATCGCCGCAACTCTCGTGAAGGGTAAAGCCAGAATACAATTTGGCGCTACAAAGGTAAGTATCATATTATTATTGTGAAGATTTCGCTATTTTGTTGTTTGTTGCGGAATTTCTAAATTCCAACTTTAGGCATTATCACAGGGTCAGTACAGCTTGGCACGTGCACAGCAGAGCTTTAAATCCCTGGTGCAAATACATGAGAAAAATGGTAAGCAATTGGGATATTTTTTCACCAACGAATGCAAACATTTAAATTTGACATATCTTTTTTTTACAGGCTGGTTCACACCGCCAAAAGAAGATGGCTAAAAATACAGCGGCGGCATCGTCTTTTTCTCTACCCTATATATCGAGTAGTTCATGCATATTAATATACGTTTTTATCATTTCCTTGGTTAAAACAATAATAAAAAATGCAAAATAATTAGATCTTATAAATATACTTAAATTATAGTTGATTTAAAACGCAAACAAATATATCCATGTATACATAAAAGGCACTAAGCATATAAGAGGACTAGAAAATGTTAGTAGACACTTAAAATATAAGCAAATAATTATAACAATGATCACATTTGGCAGGAAAGCGCAAATATTACTAGCATAGTTTTAAAAACCACTTTGTAAATCAACACAATTAGAACAGTAACAAATAATAGCCACATGCATAGCATATGTGAATCCAATACGAGAAATTTGTATATGAAGGTTTTTGCACACAGGAAATTTTCGTTTATCATTCGCCAAAAGACCGAATGCTTTTAAGATATCTTAAGTATGTACTTATGTAAATGCGTGTCTAAACAAAATGGTTTAAGTGTGTCTAATTTGAGTGCAAAAATTAGCGTCTACATTAATGAAAACCAACTATGCTAGGCTTTGTGAATTAAAAAATAAATGCGTTTGGGTTTATTGTTGCAGTAGTGAAAAGAAAGATTTCCATAAATGAAATATTTTTATTTAATTATATCTATGCATATGTGTAAGCATATGTTTAGTTCCAATTACACTCAGATAGAAGAGAGAATTTATGTTCCGCAAGATTTAGTGCACTACGGTAGGTTAGGAAATGTATATTATAATAACAAACGTATGTAGAAATATTTATTCAAAAATTTGTATACATATAAAACAATAAACAATTACAAAATTCCAGATAATTTATACAGAAAATATTACTTGTGACTACATAAATTTCATTTAATTTCATTAACACAATTGGAGAAAACATATTTTAAGTTGTTTTAATGAATGAAAAGTTTACCTTTCTTGTTATGAAATCGAAAATTGTACTGTGTACTGAAGTTTTGGTACTGAAAACGCAGCGGACTTTCTAATAGAAACGCACCATAGGCGGCCCCATGGAATTTTAAAAGCTTCAAATTTACATTGAGACAAGAAAAATCCTCTCAGCAGTAATTCCCTAAGCTATTTGTAGAATATTATATTAAAAACTAGATTTATTGTATTCTATTTTCCATACAAAGCTCTCTCGGAAATTGCAAACAAAATTTATTTTATGAAGATTTTTTGAAAACCAGCGACATTTTATTTATTCGTAGGTTTTATTTTCATATCAATCAGTTGTCTCACGTGTGTCTATGTGCGATTTATAGTTTTCTCTATTTTGTTTATTTTCTTACTAAATCAAATTTAACTAAAAATCTCTCCTTTAGTAGTCTATTAAATAAGCACAATTAAGGTGTCCATATTAATCGAGTTTTTATGTTTGCCAAGAACTACAAATAAATACGTACAACAATTGCAGTTGATTCGTAATTAAAATATTTAATAATGATTAAATTCAATTTGCACCAATAAGAAATGTAAAAACCATAAAATCATTAAAAAAAAAAACATTATTATTTAAGTTTGTATTGTATATTCATAAAAATCACATTCATGCCGTGTGGAAATGCTGAAAAATGATTGTGTGCTGGTAGTTATACTAAGAAGTTCGGTACGTACACCCACAATAAATGTTATTAAAAAGGCTAGTTGTAAGATCGCTATCATACTGCATGTATTTATAAATTACTTGAAACGATAAACAAACTTTCTATTCAGTTCAGGTTAAATATCAACAAAATAATAGGCGTACAACTACATAGGTAGAAACGTATACTATGTACCATATGCATATGCTAAAAATTTGTGGCGTGTAGTTTACGTTAAGGTATACACACATACATATAGTATATATTGTATTTTAAAATGTCGAAGTAAATATGCTAACTACCTATATAATACATTGAATACCCACATATAAGTAATAAAGCTGCATTATTATTAATATTACAAATATATTTTACAGTATATATAATGAAATAATCATTGATAAAAAATATATATGCGACACATTACTTAAGTTAAAATACATGAACGTGAATAAATTACGGAACGGATTATCCAACTTTCAAACGCATCTATGAATATTTTATTCCTAAACACGTAGTTATCTTCTTTCAGCACAGTGTAATATTATATCTTCCAACGCACTAACGATGTGCTTCGACATACACGAAAATATCACCTCAATCTTAAAACGGCATGAGTGCCCTATAATTCGCTACGTAAATGTATGTATTGTTTAACCGAAAGTGAGAACGACTAGAATTCTATTTCGCGGTGGAACTCCATACCTTGAAGGAGGAGAGAGATAGGTATTTGGTAGTAATATAATATTTTGGCCTGCGCCAGACAAAACTGAAATTGGGAAGATATAACTTCAACAAGTTTTATCTACTTGTAAACCTCGCTAAAGGCTGGTCGCCGGCACCTATACAAAATGGTTATAGCCTCTTCTGCGGATTATCGGCTCAGCAATATGGGCCCGTAAACTCCGTAGCAACTGCTTCTAGATTGTAGGATTAACATATCAATGTTGTGAAGAAATTCCCTCCCTACTGCATGTACAGTATTCAATTCAATTGCAGTTAATATATATATATTTTTTTATTGACTTTCAATAGAGATATAGTTTTGAATCAAAACATTTTTTTTGCTTCGAGAAAGACGTTTCTGTAATTACCTTAATGTTCCTTCCAAGTTTCCTTATCAAAGTTCGCCATATTTTTCGTAATAAAAGTAGTCAATTGTTTTAAAATACTTATCTCTATTTATTTACATTACTGCTTGAACTATGGAAGTTTGAGTGTCCGTCGGTATTATTTTACCTACATTATTATATAAAGAAACACTATTTGATGACATTTTAATGCTATACTGTCAAAATTGACGACTCCTTTGCTTGAGCAGACTGTTTTAGTTGGTCATTATCGGCTTTCACAAATCGTATCATTTCATCAATGTTTTCCGAACCTTCTGTAGCAGTTTGAAGTAATTCTAAACATCCTTGTAATTCTAGTAAATCGTAGGTTAGATTGACTTCTCGGCGTAGCACAACAGCTAAATTTATAAAATCTTTGCCTAATACGCCAGTGAATTCATGAAACTTCGATGCATAAACATCCAACAATATCATTGCAACATCAATTATAACGCGCATGAATCTGTGTTCTCCAATGAAACGACATATGAATAATATGATCCGTGAAAGAAATTCATGGCTACGTCCAGCTAATGCGCGATGTAAGCCTTTGCGATGTATGAGCTCTTGCATAACACTGATTGTCACTTCAGGATTATTTCGTGCAAAATGTGGGGTCATTACACTGTCCAAACATTTTACATACTCGTATTTGCGCAACAAAAAATCATATTTGTTGAATTTTCGAGCTCCCCTATTACGGATTTCATGATCTACTTTAACTGAAGATAACGGTGGAGGTTTATTAGTTGACCTCTTTGTTATTTCGTCCTTACTACGATCAACTTCCATATTTTGGATAGAAATTAAACCATCAACCATCCCAGCAACAACCGTCTGATCCCCTGGTGCTACACCAAGACTCAGTACAGCATTTGGGAAGTCAAGCGTATGTACAGTCTGATAAGTGGCAACATCATAGATCTTAACATGCCGATCCAAACTGCCCGATAACAAACGTTTGCCATTGGAACCAAGACGCAGACTTGTAATTGTTTTATGGTGCTGTGAAATTTTCGTTAAAAGGCGGCATCCTGCAAAAGCATCCCAAACACGCATTTCTGTACCGCCGGCACTGATAAAAATACCACCCGTAGGTAGAAATAGCAACGATTCAACTGGACTACCATGATCGATACTGTATGCAATTTGTTGCGTACGAGTATCGTACATTTTAATTTTACCATCATAACCGCCCGATATTAATGTGTCTGGTGACACGGGATTTATTGCTCCGGCTCTTATATAGTCTTCATGCTCAGCAAATGTCAATGTAGCCTTCTCAGATGCAATGTCCCATAATTTTACAGTGCGATCATCTGAAAAACTTGCGATATGCTGCAAGTCTTGAGTAAACTTCGCGCGATGTACAGGACCTCGGTGTCCCTTAAACAGACGCAAAACGTTTTTGCTAGAGGGGTCAAAAAGTTTTACCAAACCTTGCTCATCACCTGCCACAAGTAAACGTCCGTCTTGTCGAAAAGTTCCTCCGTAAGCAGTTTCTTGAAATCGTGATAAATTCTTTACCACCAATTTTGTAATGGGATTGTAAACTTGTACGCGTACAGAACAAGTCACAGCAAAATAATGTGGCTCAATAGGACTGAAGTCTACATAATCGATCGCACCAAACTCTTTCACTAGGGTAGGCACCTAAGGAAGCAATAGCAACACTCTTTCTTTAATATTTAACTTTTTATTGTAGACTGCAAACTTACACTCAATTGTTTCCAGTATGTAGTATCAGGCGTGACAACTTTACCAGTTTTGAGGTACTTTTTTGTGTTCAATCGTTTAAACTGAGACATTTTTCACTTACTGAACCCCTATTAATTCAAATTGTTAACAAATTTAGCGAACAAAAAAATTGGTTCATAATGTTTTGACTTTTCATTGCACGTGCAGTCAGTTAACATTTGGCGTTGCCACTTAATAAATCTATAAATAAATAGTGCCGGCATAAAAGTCCAATCAATAAAATAATATTTATATGCTCTTATTAAATGTTAAATTTATTTATATGCTCTTATTAAATGTTAAATTTATTTTGTGTAAATTTTTACGTTAATTGAATGACTTAGGACCTAATAATTGAATTCTAATCACATTTCTAATCACACAAAAAAAAATTTAGCAATATTGTGAATGCTTCATATCTATCTCTGGTGTTTTAATTTGACACATTATCAACTAAACAAAATTATTATCGCTGCACGTCATCTTCAAATAATAATATTTTTATATTGCAACGTTTATTAGGAAATAAGAAATCAAAATGGTGAGTAAAGTGGAAAATATTTCATTGCATTACTCCGAGTCAATTAAATCTGTTTCCCACAGAGTGCACTATTCAACTTTCAAAGTTTATTATCAGTGATTCTGCTTCTCATTTGCACTTGTGCATATTTACGATCACTATTTCCTAGCATTATGGACCGCAATAAGACGGGGTAAGTTAAGTATAAAGTTAGAACAGTCTTTAATGTTTTAAAAAATGTTTTATTTCAGCGTGCTTGGTGTTTTTTGGAAGTTGGCAAGAATAGGAGAACGAAAGTCGCCTTATGTCGCCGTGGCATGCGTGGTTATGGCAATCTCCATATTATTTTGGACATGATACTAACATTCTGATTCTTTTTATTTAACTGTATAGTCGAGATTTGTTAGCAATAAAAAATTTTTTTTTTGTAATTTTGTAGCATGTGAAATAATTTATATTAAATTTAGATTGTGTTTGTATGATAAAAATGACATGTAAATAACTAAATCGGTAAATGTATAGTTTAGGTCCCCAAAGAAGGAGACCGCAAAAATTATATTTTTGTTTAATCGTCTTATTTTGACGCGAATATTATAAATCCGTGAGCGGAAAGTAAATTTTTTCAATAATTTAAGTATACTTAGTTGTCGTAGCAGCAGAATTCTGTAGAATTTAGATGATAAAGAAATGTAACAGTCACAACTTCTTATACGTCGCGATTTGATGGGATGAACGAATAGAGGAGATCGTCAAAGTCCTATCTGCACTGGCGGCCTTCGGCAGCGCTTCAAAATAATATCCCTGGTTGGTTGTTGTTGTGGTTGTGGTAGAATTCTGCCGAGTTGACAGTCCTTGGCCGGATAAAAATCCGGGTCCGTTCCTGTTACTTAGACCCGACTGTCGTGGAAACGGCCCTGGTCGGTCCAACACCGGGGTGTCCATAGTTCTTTTGTATGCTGAAAGGAGTTCGATTCAAAAGAAGGCTGAAGGCCGATAGTGCGGGAAAGGAGTTCGACGTGAATGAATTATAAATACCCCGATTTTAAACCGACCAGGGTTATTTTTATGAAGCGAGACCAAAGTCCGCCAGTGCAGAAAGGAGTTCGACGCGAATAATTTATGACCGATCAAGGTTAGGCCGAAGACCGCCAGTGCATAAAAGAGTTACCATGCGAAAGAACATGTGCAAAGTGTGTAATTTTTTGAATTTTTTGTAAAAAATGGAATTATTAAATAAATTAAATTTCCGCGGACTTTCACGGATTTGTAATCTTCGCGTCAAAATAAGATGATTTAAAAAAAAATTATTTTCGACGCCTCCTTCGTTGGTGCATCTAAACTATACATTTCCCACTAATTCGAGTTTAAAATGCGCTGACTTATGGTTTTTGAGATATTTGTATTTGAAGTTCAAAAATTTAACAATCTTAGACGAGTCTTTTTTTTTATTTATATAGAGATTTACACTCTTCATATACTACCACTTCACTTAATTGTTTCTACCTAATTATTTATTAATAATAGCTTATTCACATGCTAACAATAGGGTTCCATACCAACAAATAATTAGCGCTATGAAAGTGAAAACAGACCAAATGAAACAAAGAACACAGATACACCCTAATAGCAGGAAACAAATACCACATTATAAGTTTTTCGCGTAAAATTCCATTCTTCATTTGTGGCATTCGGTCGCGTTTAAAAAAAATAACCCTGGTCGGTCCAACACCGGCGTCGAACTCCTTTCCGTCCTTTCAAGTCAGTTCGGCCGCGCTTGAAAAAAAATAACCTTGATCGGTCATAAATTATTCGCGTCGAACTCCTTCCTGCACTGGCGGACTTTGGTCGCGCTGGGATTTAGAAGAAACACGTAATTTAAATAGTTACATATATATGTAAATATCTCAAAGACCATAAGTCAGCGGTAAATATATATACATCAATACATTTATATTTTTAAACTGGGGAGCTTCCTCTATCCGCACATACCCATTTTAACCCTGAATTATGGGGGGATGCTATTCTAAATTCCATCCTAAGTTACTGTTTTTTTAGTGTTATATCCACAATTAATCCACACTACGAGTTTCAGATACCTTGTGAGAATCGTGTAATCTGGACATGTTAGCTAAAGTTTTTAATTAAAAATTTTAATGTATTTCATCAAATAAATTTTAGGTGTTATAAAAAGAAATCCATTATTTTTGCATGAAATTGATTGCTTCAATTATTATTTTTCGTATCCAGCCTTATTCATATGGTTCCAAACGGTTTTTTGTGCAATGTTTAGGTCCTGGAAAATTGTAATCGATGTTTGGGCTCGACGGTTTCCATTATTTGATCGATATTTTTCGATAATTGGTCCTTTCGGAAATCGCGACGCGATGATTGGCTATTACAGTATCAGGAATCTCAGAAAAAGTAAATTTTCATCTTCTGATGCTTCGAGCAACGTCAGCTTTTTGATTTCAATATCTAAAAAACTAGCTTCCACGTCATTAACATATTGATGAATCCTTTTTTCTTTGGACGAACAGGAGAAGGCTTGGTTGAAGATCGTATTTCAGCAGTAGTTAGTCCGGTATCGTTTACTTCAGCATTTCAGTTTTTCCAACTGAACTGATCTCGCAAATTTCGCCCCTTCTTTCTACCCTCCTCTTCTGAGAATAAAAAAAAAAATATATATAATTGAAGTATCATTTAGACAAATCGAAGTCATTTGTTGCTTCTATAGTCAAAGAGGTTTGCAAGGCTATTTGGATATCGCTTCAAAAGATACATATGCCTGTACCAAGCATCGAATATTTTGAAAGTCTGGTTACTTTCAAAAGTGAAATTTTCCCAATTGTTTGGAAAGTATCGAGGGAACATTGGGCTCAAGTGCCCATAAAATTCAGGAGCACATATGTATTATAACTACAAAACTTTTCAAAAGTGCTCATGGTGATTGTCGATGTACACTACTATTGTTTTTTAATGGAGGGACAGTGACGCAGGAGTTTTCGCAAATTCAGCTATTTATGAAAGTATTAATAATGGTCATTTAGTGTTACCAAGTGATAAATTATTATACAACTCTGAGCTTGAGGCTCTATTTGTGTTCGTAGGCGATGAACCATTTCCTTTACGAACATACCTAATGAGGTCATTCCCTACAGGACCACTTGAAAACAATTCCTGTTAGGCAGGTTCACTAATCACAGTGATAGTTGAAATTAAAATTAATGCAAAAACAAGTAAGGAAGGGCTAATTTCGGATGTAACCGAACATTTTATACTCTCGCAAAGTCAAATGGTATACTCGTTTGAGATTTCTTTGTGGATTGACTGATATTTTCGGTAGAAGGTTAACTATAGGCACTGGGGTCCACATATTTAGTACTCAGGGGCTTGAACAGTTTTGGTTCCATTTAGACAATTTTTGGTCACAAGGTGGCATACCATAAACGTATTATTCACGCAAAGTTTTACCCCGACATAATCATTGTTGCTTGATATGCATAGTGGAAAGTGGAAGAATCAGATGGAATTGAAAATGGTGTTATATGGGAAATAGGCGTGGTTGTAGTCCGATTTCGCCTATTTTCGCACTATAATATAGAAATATGAAAAAGACGTTATGCACGTAATTTGGTTGAAATCGGTTAAGCAGATCCCAAGATATGGGTTTTCACCTAAAAGTGGGCGGTGCCACGCCCACTGACTAATTTTGAACGCGGTTCCTATAAAGTCATCTCATACAATTCCAGAGATAAAATTTAATGTCTCTGGCGTGTTTAGTGCTTGGCTTAACGCGGTTTTAGTATTTTTTAACAGTACCAATATATGGGGAGTGGTCCGAATACGCCCATCTGCAATACCAACCGTCTCAAGGTACCAAGAAACATGTCTACCAAGTTTCATAAAGATATCTCAATTTTTACTCAAGTTAGAGCTTGCACGGACGGACGGACGGACAGACGGACAGACAGTCACCCGGATTTCAACTCGTCTTTTCATCCTGATCATTTATATATATATAACCCTATATCTAACTCGATTAGTTTTAGGTGATACAAACAACCGTTAGGTGAACAAAACTATTATACTCTGTAGCAACAGGTTGCGAGAGTATAAAAAGGTTGCGAAACAATTCAACATTCATTATTCAACGAAATCGTCAATGGATTACAATTAAATTTGTATTTTACTATGTTTTATCATAGCTCATATACTTACTTAATTTTATAACCATATTTTAATTCGCGTCAGCTAAAATTGTATTAAAATTATCTTTAAATGAGATAAATGGCATATAAACTCAACTAAAGAAGTTAAATTTAATATAATGAGTTGATGTGAAAACGTCAAGCAGAAGATCGCAATTCCTTATTTTAGGGATACATAGGGTTTTATCAAAGTGTAGCCTAATTTTATTCATATTCCCACAAAATTGTTAAGAAAACTTCTTTATTTGATTTTATTAAAGTATCACACATTTTGTCAAGTGGAAAGTCGGAAATTATTATACAGGCTATATTGGAGACACAGAAAGAGATGGGCTGATTGAATTGATTTTAACATTTCAAGTATACCCCTTGAGATCATATTTTTAAGCAATTTTATAAATATATAATACACATATTGAACGACATTTTTGGCATAAGGTTTGTTAGAATTACAAAAATCAATATAGGTAGTATTTGGGAGTTGAGGTATTCGTAGACTAAGTTCGCATATTTTCGGCATTGGACTATAATTATATATATATATTGTATATAAATTATACGTTAAACTATAGTATATCCAATATTATACGTTAGGTTAATTTTGCGAAGATATCTTACATATTGACTGATATATATGGCATAAGAAAAACCAGATGTTTGAAAATCTTATATTAGGTATATGAGAGATTGGGGTAGTATTGACCCGATTTTATTTATTTTTGGCAAGACAACATACCACTAACAGAATAAAATAATCCATGAGTTCGTTAAAGTACCTCACATACCATCACCAATATATGTGGTGTTAAATCAAACGAATGTTTGAAAATTCTGTAATTTGTTATATGAGGGCTAGGCAAGTTTTCACCCGATTTTACTCATTTATGTTTATAGGCACAAAGATGAAGCATTATAAGCAAAATACATCCACTTAATTTTATTGAAATAGCTTACTTGATATTAGCCGATATATGCGGTACTAAATAAACCGGAAGTTCGAAAATATTTCGATAAGGTATATGGGGCATATTATTGTCAGAGACTCCTTCCGAATTGCAATAATATATCACACAGGTGGACCGTTCCGGTAAAAAGTTAGCACCAGGCGGTGGGGTCCCCATATTTCGTAACTGGGGGCTTAACCAGTTATATTAACAATTTTAAGACTTGTGATGGTATACTTTAAAAGCACTATTTGTGCAAAGTCTTGTCCTAATATTTTCTTTGGTGCTTGATTTGTATACTGAAAAGTGAAAGAATCATATGAAATTTAAAATTGTGCTAGTGAGGTAATAGGCGAGGTTGTAGTCCGATTTCGCTCATTTTCTCATTGTAAGATGAGTTGTTA